CTTACAACATGATTTAAGAAAGTTCTATTTACTTTAACCTTCTCATACCACCAACATGCATGCCAACCATATCTATTGTCATGACCTTCTAAAACATCAGGGTTTTTTTAAAATAACATCCCTTCCCTTAGCCAGCATAAACAGGATGCCTCATAATATAGTCTTAAATCTGGTAGGGAGAATCTGCTTTTGTCTTTAGAATCTCTTAACAAATTATATTTTATTCTTGGCTTCTTCCCCTGCCAGACAAATTTTTTAATATCTTTCTGTCATTCTTTGAAGTGTCCTGGATTGCTGATCAAGGGTATTGTTTGAAATAGCATTCTTGGCAATACATTCATTTTAGTTAATGATACCCTTCCCAATTGCGATAAATTCATTCTTCCCCACACCTCTAAGTTTTTCTTTATTTCACTCCTAGCTCTTCTATAGTTATCCTTAAAAATATTTATGTTCTTAGCTGTTTTTACTTTTATTTAGTTTAAAGCCTGCTACTTCTCCAAACTTTAGAATCTGCTCCAAGACCCTGCTAACCACAGGGTCTTCTACAGTTACCACAAGGTTATACCAGATGGGCGGGGTATAAATGCCTTAAGGTTATATGCTTTGTAACCTACTGTTTTCCCTTTTATTTCTTCATCTGATCTTATACTTCTGGCCAGGGTCTCTAAAAATAAAACCAACAATAATGGTGACATTATGGTCCCTGTCTCGTCCCTTTCATTATTTTGCATTTTTCTGTTATTACATTATTTACAATCAGAATAAATTGCATTAATTCCTCTGGAATTAATGTGGTTTGCCAATATGTCTGTGTCAGGGAACTGCCATCGGAAAGACAGGAGGTGGAAAGGCTCCCGGAGGTTGAGAGAGACTTAGCAGCTGGAGAGGGAACCAGCAGGGGGAGAAGAGGGGCTCCAGGGGAAAGTGAGTCGGAGGGATGGCTCAGAGACACTTCCAGCGAAAACAGTGGGGAGGTTTCAAGACCTCCTATAGGGACACCCACTCCTCGCCGGAAACTGTCACGCCGAGAGTCCAGAAGACGTGTTTCCGTTAAGGAGCTTTTATGCTGGAAGAGATTCCGTAAGAGACCACTTTCGGATTCTGCTAGCGACTGACGCAGCCATGCTGGAGGGGCTCCGTCGCAGGCAGAGGTTTGAGGACTTGACCAAACTCTGAGGGACTTGCATTTTACGCACAAGCAGCTCATCATCCCATTACAGTCTGCAAACAGTTTATAGTCATTATTTAATAGAGAGATGGGCCTAAAATTTTTGACTGATAATAGATACGTATTTTGTTTCAGAATCCCTATAATGTAAGCATCTTTCCAAGCATCTGGCACTTTCCCTATATTTAATATTTCGTTCATTACATCTTTTAGTGGTTGTGCCAGATAATCTTGTAGTTTCTTTAGTACTTTGCTGATAGCCCATCTGGCCTTGGAGTTTTTCCCATTTTGAATAATTGCCTGTTGTAGCTCCATCGTGGTCATAGATGCATTTAATGAACTGAGTTTCTCTTTTACAATTTTTGGGAGGTTATTCTGCTTTAAATATTCTTCAATATTATTTATGTTCTCTTTACCGACTTGATACAGTTCTTAATAATACCTTGCGTATTGCTTTCTTATATCTTTTGGGTTATTTTTCCTTCTATATTTAGTTTTTTTATTAAGTTCATGGCCTGCTTCTTCTTTAGCTGCCACGCCAGCAGTTTGCCTGGCCGGTTGGCAAATTCAAAAAAATTCTGCCGTAGCATTTTAATCTTCCATTCAGTTTCTTGATTTACCAGCATCAATTATTTTCATTTTCAATCAGCTCTTCCAGCAGGTCTGGGATTTTTTTGTTCTCTCATCTTCTTTTAGAAAGCATTTTCTTGAATGAAAAAGCCCACATTACTGCCTTACTTGAGTCCCAGACAACTTTCAGATCCATTCCTTGATTTAAGTTGAACTCAAAATAATATTTCAAAGCTTTTTCAGCTTTAAGTAAAATTCTTTGGTTAGCAAGAAGTCCATCGTTTCATCTCCACCTGAATGATGTGTTTTTTCATCTTTTAATTCAAGTAGTAATTGGTTATGATCCGAAAGTGTCCTTGGTCATATCTCTACTTTTCGTTGTTGTTGTTCTTAATGATAATTCATTGGATATCCATATTGAGTCACTTCGTCCAACAGATGGCTTTGGTTCTGAAAAAAAGGTGAATTCTCTATCCGCCACCCTCCAGATCTTTCATAGAGGTGCCACACAAAAAAGGGCCTCAGGTGAAGATTGCAGGGTCTGTGAAGGCCTTCTCTGCAATGACCCCTGTGTTGTGGGATAAACTTCACTAGAGCTAAAGGGGACTCCTGCGGAAATTGTGCTCTCTCTGCTAGTTTCAATGTGATTGTTCGCAAGCACATTCATGAACACTGACTTTAGGACATTTTGAGTATCTATTGCTTTTGTGGATTTTAAGAATGTATTAACTTGTATTTTGTATTAAACTTAATCTGTAAAGCTCCTTGTTATTTTATATGCACTCTATATAAATGCTTTAATGTATTACAAAAAAAGCCTGAATAGGAATTCTAGTCTACATGAGATACACGCAGGCCCCAAATCATAAGAGGACAAAGTGAGTAGGACATCTTAGCTTCATGGTTTCTTAATGCTGGTGCTTTTCCCTGCCATTCCAGCTTCACCCTTTCTTAAGAGAAATCCGGTGTCTGAATACTTCCAGGGGCAGGCTGTGCTTGGATGAGAACTGGGAGCTACCAGCGGACTTCGATATTGTGAACTGGGTGATGTCTCCCAATAAGTCTCGTGTCCTTGTGAAAATTGGGAATATAAGGAGAGAGACGTCTGCTGGCATAAAGTTCACCGTTAACCCAGAAGCCATTGAGTGGCCCAAGAAATTCAACAAGGTAGGGGGAATCACAGAGGGAGAAGGCGAGGAGATCCTTATCATGTTTTTCCTTAAACAACCACTGAAAAATGACCATATCAGTTTTGCCCAATGGTGTCTTGACCGTCAATAACAGCTGCAACCCCACTCCTTTCCACAGCAGCTGAGATAGGAGGGGAATTTGGGATGCTCAAAGAAAGCATAGAGCCCAGAGGTGCTCAGAGAAGACACCATCTATTTCCGAGCCAGACTGAGATTTTTAAAATTCTGGACAGAATCTTTGATTGAATGGACTATGCCATTAAGAAGAAAAGGGGAAACGCCTAGTAAAAATGAACTATTGGGCTTTCATTCATGCAGAAGGATGGAAAGTAATTTATTTTAGAAATTTACACCACAAAGAACTCATAACCCACCTACTTTCAGCAGCCAGAAACATCATAACCAGACACTGGAGAGACCTGTCAGGAGTAAGCATGGACCAATGGTACCAAATAGTATGGGAAACTGCCCTACTAGAAAAATTAACTAATAAACTGAAACTGACACGGGGACAAACAGAAGAAGACACCTTCACCCCGGTATGGCTCCCCTTTATCACATACACAGCCCAACAGGACAATGACAATAATCCACCAGCAGCATACAAATCAATATGGCTAACCTGATCCAAAACACCCACCCACCTCACTCACACACGAAAACAAAGATCACCACAGCCAATCACAAGCAAACAATCACACCCTAGGCCAACCCCAACCTCTCTCACCACCAAAGGAACACAAGTAAACAACACAAATAACGCTGACACCAAACTCTACATACATTAAACATAATAGAAGCACCGCCACCTGACCCCACCCCCATCCATCTTCCCTCTCTCCACCCCCCTTTCTTTTTTCTTTTTCTTCTTCTCCCCCTAATGCCTCAACAAATGAAACGGATTTGTAAAAATGTTACATTGGGGGGAAAAATACGAGGCATTACACTTCTGTAAAACAAGAAAATCCTTAATAATCTTTTTTTAAAAAAACACACCAAAAAAACCAGTAAGATGCAAAAAAAGAAAAACAAAGAAAAAGAAATGATAATTACTGATTTATTGTGGATTTTTTAAATTTGTGGAGTAAGCTCACTTGTAGATGTTGCAAATGGTAAAATAATGTACGTGCAGGAATTGACAAGTTGACAGCTGATTGTTAAGGATGATAAGCTTTTTTTAAAAACAACAACAACAACCCTATTGTAATATAAGGTTAACGGAAAGGAACGGCATGTGAATTAGAAATAACTAGGAAAATAAATCAGCGGTAAGAAGAAACCTTGCATGCCTCTTAACGATTACGATTACGATATCTTTATTGTCATTGTCCCTTGCGGAACAATGAAATTGAAAAACTACAGAAAACTACATTAAAACTACATAAAACTACCACAAAACTACATAAAACTACATAAAAACTGTATAAACTACTACAAAACTACTACAAAACTACATAAAACATTCAAAACCCCCTAAAAACTCTAAAACCCCATTTTAAAATACACTATACTACAGAGACCCCTTATGCTGCGTTTAGAGCCAGAATTGCATTAGCGTAGAAACTGTTTCTCAGGCGGCTAGTCCTGGCCTTTTTAACCCTATACCTTCTTCCAGAAGGCAGAAGCTGAAAGAGATCATTTCCGGGGTGCGTACTGTCATGTGCTATCTCTGCCGCTTTCTTATGGCACCTGGCAGCATAGATTTGATCTAAGGTGGGAAGAGTGCACCCAATAATTCTCTCTGCAGTCTTTACGACCCTGGATAGCATTGTTTTTCCCCTGGCTGTGCAGCTCCCAAACCACACACACAGACCATAAGTTAGTACGCTCTCCACAGTGCAATGGTAAAATGCCATCAACAGGTCCTTTGAGAGATTGTTTTTCCGGAAGATTCTCAGAAAATATAACCTCTGCTGTGCTCTCTTCACCAGGTCTTTGCTGTTCTCTCCCCAGGTTAGGTCGTCTCTCAACTCCATTCCCAGAAATCGAAACACCGAGACCTGTTCCACGCACTTCCCCTCAATAATAAGTGGCTGAATATTCAATTTACGTTTCCTCAAGTCCACAATGATCTCTTTTGTTTTCTTTAAGTTAAGGAGTAAGTTGTTTTTCCTGCACCACTCCCCCAACTGCTCAAATTCCTTCCTATAGGCCGCCTCCCCCTCTCCAGCAGTAATTAAACCAACCACCGTTGTATCATCTGCGAACTTAATGATCTTATTACTGGGGTATTTGGGGGCACAGTCAGCTGTATAGAGCGTATATAAAAGCGGGCTCAACACGCACCAATGCGGCGTCCCCGTATTCGTGATGAGATCTGCAGAGACGTGGGAACCCAACCTGACCCTTTGGGAACGGTTTGATAGAAAGTCTAATATCCACCTGCACAAACATGGTGGAAGTCCCAGGTCTAATAATTTGGGCACCAATCTATGTGGAAGAATAGTATTAAATGCAGAACTAAAGTCTACAAATAACAGTCTCGCATAGTTCCCTTGCTTCTCCAAATGAGTCAGGACAGCATGTAAAGCCATTGCTACAGCATCCTCTGTGGATCTCTTTGCCTTGTACGCAAACTGGTAAGGGTCAAGTCCCACTGGCAGACAAGATAAGATGCGCTTCCTCACCAGTTTTTCGAAACATTTCATTATAATGGGTGTCAACGCCACAGGGCGAAAATCATTCAGACTATCTTTGATGCTTTTGGCAGGGGTATAATGGTAGCGGATTTCAGACAAAAGTCTTTGTCCCCCCTGCCTGCCTTCCCAGGGGCTTTTAAATCGCCCCGGACAGCGGAGAAGTCCTCCGCTGTCCTGGGGCGATTTTAAAATGCCGCCCGCCAGCATTTTAAGATCGCCCCGGACAGCGGAGAAGCCCTCCGCTGTCCCGGGGTTTTTTAAAATGCTGGGGGTGGGAAGAAAAGCCCTTGTCCCCCCCCCAGCCTTCAGAAGAGGTCGGGGGACAGACTGTCCCCGGACCTGGTCTGAAGTCGGTTTCCCTAGGAACGCATTAATTGATTTTCAATGCATTCCTATGGGAAACCGTGCATCGCAAGACGAAAAACTCGCAAGAAGAAAAAGCTTGCGGAACGAATTAATTTCGTCTTGTGAGGCACCACTGTATATAGGAGCCTTCATTGGATTGCTCCAGGTTGAACTGCTATAAGAATAAGTGTTTAGTAAACTTTCTACTAGTCTGGAAGGATGAAAGTCTAAGTAGGATGCAATCTTAGCTAATGAATCTAAATGCTTTACCAGTGGCTGTTCTGCCAATTATTTTCACTTCCCATCTGATCTTGGTTTTGCTCTATAAATGGGGAGTTTAATGAGAGGAACCTGAGTTGGAGGAGGAGGACCTGAATGGGAGGAACCTGAGTTGGAGGAGGAGGCCTCTCGCTCTTCCTTCCTGACTGAGCATAAGATGCCTCCTCTTAAAAGGTTTGGCAGGCAGGGAATACAACTATTTGGCATCGTCTCATTTCTCCCCTCCAATGCTGAAATTGTTGCTTGCTCACTCTTCATCTGGTGATCCACTCAACATCAGTGCACAAGGTATCAGATCCAGGCAATGGAATCTGAAATGTGATTTCCCCAAATTTCAGAATTCGAATAATCTCTCAACCACAAATTAAGACCAATTTAATACGAATTGGTTCGCTTCCCTCTGTTATGAGGGATGACAGGAGAGGTTAGGAGATTATTGAAGGCCAGAAATTCTGCTTTTAGAACTGGGGGGACCGGTATTGTATGGCATAGAAAGAGCGAACTTGAAGAGGGGTATCAGGAAAGCAAAAGCGGAGTACAGAGGAAAAATTGAGGACCATCTGAGAAATCATGATACTAGACAAATGTGGCAGGGAGTCCAACATCTGACTGGTTATAAATCAAGGAATTCATCAGTGGTAGAGAGTACGGCTTGCTTGGTGGGAGAGCTGAATACCTTCTTTGCCCGATTTGAGGTGACACCAACAGTGACTCCAACAGGGATGCCAGAGCTATTGGCGTCACTACCTACAGGAAATGCTGCCAGGGTGGAAGAGGGAGAAGTGAGGCGAATATTAAAGGAGGTAAACACGAGGAAGGCTATGGGCCCAGATGGGGTGGCTGGCAGGGCGCTAAGAGATTGTTCGGACCAACTGGCAGGAATCTTTACAAAGATTTTTAACCAGTCTCTGGCCCAAGCCAGAAAGTCTTTGTCCCCCCTGCCTGCCTTTAAAAGCCCTCCCGGGAGAGCGGAGAAACGCACAAATACTCCTAACTGTTCCTCTTTGTGGCACCTTCTTGTCTTTCTGGTTAGGCCGTACCTCGTTCCAGGTGTACAGAAAGATGTCGACCCGGATATGCCAAGGTGGTTCTAGAAGGAAAGCCCATTTGCTGCTATGCTTGTGCTCGGTGTGCGGAAGGGACCTTCTCCGCTTGGGAAGGTGGGTGACGCCAAGGGGGAAGGTATTTCTGGAGAGAGTAAACACAGGGCAGAAATTCAGTCTCACACACTTTTTGTGAGAATTCTGCAGACATTGTGGAATGTGGCTCCTTCCTCAAATTCTTTAGGATTAATCACCTTTATTACATCCAGGAAGTGAGTTGAAAGGAATGACCATCAGGAAGAAATCTCTGGGGTTCAAAGTGGGCAGCTATGAGAGGAATTCCCACAAACATTCCTTTTTGATTTTTTCTACCAAGTCACACCAAAAAGGAAATAATGTTGACATTTATCAGAAATAATGGACAGATTATGAAAAGTAGCAAATTTTTAACATTGCATGGAAGCAACAGAAAACTGTTTGCATTTTCAAAGGTCCAGACAAAGAGGTGTTTCTTCAGGATAAGGCACGATCCAAACAATCCAGTTGAGAAATACAATGAGAAAAACCTTCTTCACTACCTCTACCTTCTTGAAATAATAGCAGAGTAAACTTTTTTTTAGAAACAAACAGGTTTTTTGCCTCTCTATACTGCTTTTAACAGTCTTATTTCCTGATGTCCACCACATAGTTTTTCAAAACTTAACAGAGCACAGATCCTTAGGGATGTAAATGATGCTGCAGCCACTCTTTTTCCACTTCCTCAGATGCAGAACATTGCACCAAATGCTCAGAAGATCACCATTCAAACAAGGACAGAGATCAATGTGTCCCCAAGATTACCACCTTCCTGGCTTATGAAGAATATTTGGGAATGGTTTTAGCTTCTGTTGCCCTCTTCTTGACCTTAATAGCAAGCATTGTGTTGGGAATCTTCATTAAATACAAGGAAACTCCCATAGTCAAAGCCAACAACCGGGACCTCTCCTACATCCTCCTCGTCTCCCTCCTGCTTTCCTTTTTGTCCTCCTTCCTCTTCATCGGGCGCCCAAGGAAAGAGACCTGCCTTCTCCGACAAACGGCCTTCAGCATCATCTTCTCAGTTGCTGTTTCTTCTGTCTTGGCAAAGACCATCACAGTGGTGCTGGCCTTCCTGGCCACAAAGCCCGGGAACAGGGTGAGGAGATGGCTGGGCAAGAGTCTGGCCAACTCCATTGTCATCTCCTGTTTTGGGGGGCAAGTTCTCATCTGCACCATCTGGCTGGGCTCTTCTCCCCCATTCCCAGAGCCCGACATGCTCTCCCAGCTGGAAGAGATCATCCTGCAATGCAACGAAGGGTCTGTGGCCATGTTTTACGTTGCCCTCGGCTACCTGGGCTTCTTGGCTGCCACCTGCTTCACGGTGGCTTTCCTAGCCAGGAAGCTGCCTGGCTCCTTCAACGAAGCCAAGCTGATCACCTTCAGCATGCTGGTCTTCTGCAGTGTTTGGGTGTCTTTTGTGCCCACCTACCTGAGCACCAAGGGCAAGTACATGGTGGCCGTGCAGATCTTCTCTATGTTGGCCTCCAGTGCTGGGCTTCTGGGCTGCATCTTCCTTCCCAAGTGCTACATGATTGTGCTGAGGTCTGATCTGAACACAAAGGAGCACCTGACAACCAGAAATTAAGGGAACAGTTGATTCTTAAAATATTCCATGTTCCTGATGCCCAGAAGTGCATAAAGGAAACACACTTGCTCATCCATGTTGCTCATTCTTCATCTGTGAAAGAGATTGTGTTCATTCTTAGCCCAGGTTTTGTGTAGTCCTGTTGACATGAACCGTAAGATGGGAGGAAATGTTTTGCTACCTTGCTTTGCCAAGGACTACAATGAGTCCTGGTCTACTGCCCTTAGTTTGTAAAGTTTTATCAGTTAATCATTTTTTGCTTTGAGAAGTTATATTTATCTCACAACCAGATAGGCTGGAGGGAGAGAGGAGTTAAGTCTTTGAGTGTGATTCCTTTGTCCTAACTACCTATTAACCATATCAATTCTGATATTCAACAATAGTTTCTAGTTATGTCATTTCTATTTATTGAATTTTCTCCATTTTCTACATGTATGCTGTATCATTCATAAGTACACTTCATGTCGTTCTCCTAAGCTTTGTATATCAATAAACTGAGAAATTCATTTAAGACATCTTCCGTAGTCTGTTGGTTTAATTTCTGTATTGTGTAAGCTCTGCTCTCTGTTCCAAAAAGTAGCAACTGACCTTAGCCAAGCCTTGACTGGAGTCCAATGGGTTTTATTACACTGGCCTGGATGTGACATGTTGTGCACTGATGTTGAGTGGATCACCAGATTACGAGTGAGCAAGCAACAAGTTTAGCATTGGAGGAAAGCAATGAGACGATGCCAGATAAGTTGTATTCCCTGCCTGCCAAACCTTTTAAGAGGAGGCATCTTATGCTCAGTCAGGAAGGAAAAGCAAGAGGCCTCCTCCTCCAACTCAGGTTCCTCCCATTCACGTCCCCATTATAGAGCAAAGCCAAGATCAAAAGGGCAAGTAAAAATCATTTACAGATCAGCCACTGACAAAGCATTTATATTAATTAGTCAAGATTGCATCCTACCTAAACTTTCATCACTTCAAATTGGTGGAAACTCTCATTCTTATTACGATTCAACTTGTAGCATTCCAATGAAGGGTGCTATATAAATTTAAGCTGGGAGCAGCCTCTGGCTTGACTTATTTCATTATTCTTACTAATATTAATAAGTAATAAAGTATGAATTTGGGGGGAGGGGAATACATTACATTAGTGTCCAGTCATTGCATTTCTATAGGATACTTCATTTCAATCAATCAATCAATCAATCAATCAAATCTTTATTACAGTAGTAGACCAGCATCAGTAGAGTGGGGTACAATCATTTCCAGTCTGTAAAACGTTTCGGAAAGCGAAAAAGTATTTAACACAAAGTATATATAAAAGTCTAAAAGACGCTAAAAGAAGGGTTTGGGAGCATTAAACAGATGTGGAAGAGCATAAAAGGTTAGTATATAAAGACTATGGCCACCAATTTACAGAGCACTCTGATATGAGTGTTCATTAAATCTAGCATAATAATAGTAATGAAAAGGTGTGGCAATGGAGGAGTGCAGGGAAAAGAAAACTCCTGGCACTCATTCTTTCTTGCTACAGAATTAAAAGATTTCTCTGCTTTTCTCCTTCTTTTTCCCTTGGGTGGTGTGTTCAGCGGTCACCCTCAGGGGAAACAGGTCCCCCCCTTTGGAGGAAATGGACTGATCGGAACCTGGCTGTGACATCGGCTCAGAATCCCAGCCTCACTTTGCAGTTGAGGCCAACAGCCTTTTGGTGGTTTCTCTGCAAGTGAATCAGGAAAAACTCTTATTGGACGCCGAAAAAGCAAAGTCTGAAGACTGATGTCTGTGGAAATGGTGAGGGGACCAGCAGGAAACTGCTAAGGGAGTTTTGAGTCCTTTTATTCTGTTGCAGTTGCAGAGAAAGGAGGGTGGGGGGTGGGGGGGTGGGGTCCGCCCCAGGTGTCATCACTGAGGGGGGTGGCAAAAGGACAGAAAGCCGTGTTTAAAATAAAAATAAAAATTGGGCTCACCAAACCTTTTAGTCGAGTCAAAAAACGCGGCTGGCACTGGGCACCGAACCGCGGGGGCTGGCACTTACCGGGGGGGGTGCAGAGTGCCTGATCCACGCATCTCTCCTGGGAGTGACGTGGTGGCTTGGGCCCCTGCAGGCTGGACGCTGCCTGAAACAGAAGCGTGGGGCTTGCGTCTGCCCCCGCCTCTCCCTCAGCCGCCCTACAGCTGGGGGGGAGGCAGAGGATAGGCTCCAGAAAGCCCACAAGGACCCCCGCGTTGAACCGGGCACCCAAGCAGCTGGCTATACCGCTGTTCTGTTGTTTGAATTATGGGTGCCTTGAGAGTGAATGTGCTGTGCTTGCTGCCCCACTCCTCCTGATGGACCAGCCCCCCATGGCGCCAGGGCTGTAGGGCTTCCCTGGCTAGCGACTCAATGTGGGCAGGAGAGTTTGCCTTCTGTGTTCCTCTCTCATTTTGGGATGCTCTCTTTCTCCTCTCTCCCCACCGTCAACCGTCACTCTGGGGTCCTGTCTCTGCTAGCAGTCAGCCACCGAGGAGGACATTCTCAATGTCAAGGAGGACGAAGGAAAAGGCGAGGAGGACGACCGCAAGACGGCTGGATCTCCTCAGCCCTGACTGGGTAGGTGGCCGTGGCCTAAGTGGTGATTGGCAGAAGGGGAGGGGGGCATATCAACCGCAGAATGGAACTGTTGTTTCAGTTATGGGTGCCTTGAGTTTAACGTTTGGTTGCGTTTTTTAATTGCTCGTTTTTTGCATCTTTTCCTTGCAGGTTCCAAGCATGTCACCATTTTCCAGTGTTTCCTCCCTGTCCTCCCTGGATTCCCTTTGGGACTCCCTCAATGAGGTACGTAGCAGACAGAGCAGGAGGGAAGCCCTGCTGAGCTGGAGAACCCTGAGGCTGGGGAGGAGGAGGAGGAGGAGGAGGAGGAGGAAGCCGGCTGGCCGGTCAGGCCACCTTCTGGACTGGTCGTGAGCAAGGGGGCAGGCAGGCAGGCAGGGGGCTCCTAAGGGTATGCTTGCTGCCCGACTTGTCCTGATGGACCAGCCCCCCATGGCGCCAGGGCTGTAGGGCTTCCCTGGCTAGCGACTCAATGTGGGCAGGAGAGTTTCCCTTCTGGGTTCCTCTCTCATTTTGGGATGCTCTCTTTCTCCTCTCTCCCCACCGTCAACTCTGGGGTCCTGTCTCTGCTAGCAGTCAGCCACCGAGGAGGACATTCCCAATGTCAAGGAGGACGAAGGAAAAGGCAAGGAGGAGACCGCAAAACGGCTGGATCTCCTCAGCCCTGACTGGGTAAGTGGCCGTGGCCTAAGTGGTGATTGGCAGAAGGGGAGGGGGGCATATCAACCGCAGAATGGAACTGTTGTTTCAGTTATGGGTGCCTTGAGTTTTAACGTTTGGTTGCGTTTTTTAATTGCTCGTTTTTTGCATCTTTTCCTTGCAGGTTCCAAGCATGTCACCATTTTCCAGTGTTTCCTCCCTGTCCTCCCTGGATTCCCTTTGGGACTCCCTCAATGAGGTACGTAGCAGACAGAGCAGGAGGGAAGCCCTGCTGAGCTGCACATGGGCAACCCTGAGGCTGGGGGGGGAGGAGGAGGAGGAAGCCGGCTGGCCGGTCAGGCCACCTTCTGGACTGGTCGTGAGCAAGGGGGCAGGCAGGCAGGCAGGCAGGCAGGCAGGGGGCTGCTAAGGGTATGCTTGCTGCCCTACTTGTCCTGATGGACCAGCCCCCCATGGCGCCAGGGCTGTAGGGCTTCCCTGGCTAGCGACTCAATGTGGGTTCCTGTCTCATTCTGGGCTGCTCTCTTTCTCCCCTCTCCCCACCACCAATGCCACCACCTCTGGGGTCCTGTCTCTGCTGGCAGGCAGTCTCTGAAGTGGCTATCGAGGAGGAAGAGCCACAGGAAGTACCAGAGAGCCCCCCAGAGGAGGACGGGGAGGACAAGGAGGACAAGGAGGCCCTTTATTCGCCGTGCCCCCCACCTGGAGAACACCTGGAGGCAAGCATAATCGAGGTCAGACGAAACACACATTCATTCATGACATTTGAAAAGCTTCCCTGAACAGGGCTGTCTTCACATGTCTTCTAAAAGTTAAATAGTTGTTTATTGCTTTGACATCTGGCGGGAGGGCGTTCCACTGGGCGGGTGCCACTACCGAGAAGGCCCTCTGCCTGGTTCCCTGTAACTTCACTTATCGCAGTGGGGAACCGCCAGAAGGCCCTCAGCACTGGATCTCAGAACGATGGGGGTGGAGATAATTCTCCTGGGTTGCTTTTGGTTTGGTATTTGTTTTGTAAGATATCTCTTTTGAATGCGTTTCCAGGTGCCTCCTGCCAAATGAAGTTATTAATTGCAAAGTGGGTTTGGCGATAATAAAACCATGTTGGCACTTTGCAAAGCCGGTTCTCTCTGGGGTTTTCCTGCCTCCGATACCTTCCCCCCACCCTCTTGTTCTTGGTTTTGTGTCTCGTTCAGATCTCTCCAAGGCTGACCACATGAGAACTTGGGAGAGGAGTGTTCCCTCCTGACTACAACCCTTTCATATAACGCCTTGCCCCCAAAAAGAAAAGGAGGGATTATGACAGCCTGCCACCACACAGGCCCTTCTCCTTCACAAACGGTCTGGAGGGCAGCAACACAAGAAGGGGCCTTTTCTGTGGTGGCTCCCCACTTGCGGAATGCTCTTCCCAGGGAGGCTCATCTGGCATCTTCATTATGTATCTTTAGGTGCCAAGCAAAGACGTTTCTCTAGAACAGAGCTTTCCAAACTGTGTGCTCCTCCCAGGGCTGGAAAAGGGCTAGTTGAACTGAATCCCTGTGTTGCGAAATGAGGCATGTCTCCAAAGTGTGTCACCAACATGGAAAGTTCTGCTCTAGAACCAGCCTTGGGCTAATTGGCCAACGCATGGCATTTTCAACATGCTTGTGGATTGGGAGGTTGGCTTATGAGTTCGTTTTTGTTTTTAATACATATGTTGTGTTTTTATTTTGTATTTTTATGCTGTAAGCCGCCCTGACAGCTTCAGATGAAGGACGGCGTACGGATTTAATCAATCAATTGTTTGTTTGTTTGATTGATTGATTAATGATTGCGGCATTTTCCCAGAATCTGGAGGTGAATTGTTTACTTTTCTCACAGGACTGTGAGGAAGAGAGGCCTCCGAAGACCCCCACTTGCCTGGGTTCCATCATCTCCCGGATTCGCAAGATCTTCAGAAGAGCGCTGCCGCCAGCACCATCAGTGCCACCAGAGCAACCCAATACAAGAGGCAGCAGTGGGGCGCAGGGGGAAAGGAGGCCACTCTGCACGTGGCTCAGGCGCTGGATGCGGCAGCATCGCAGCTGTGTCCACCCTGAACCAAGATGAGGAGGAGTTGGGAGGCTTGCACTGATCCGCCCAGGGGGATTTTGCCACCCCCCCTGGGATGACACTCGGGGCGATACCCCCCCCACACACCCCACCTTCCTCCGCCAGTGGTGGCAGGGGAAGTAGCACCTGGAGGCGCCCGAGTCCCTAAGGGACATTTCCTTTTTGTTGTCCTTGCACAGGTCTTAATCCTTGTGGTCCAAACTGGAGAGGAGGAATAAAAGATCTGAGCGCGGAGGCAAGCGGGGCGAGAAACCCAACCCCATGTGGCCCTACGCTGGCGTCCCACACGGCCAGCCCCAGTCCTACAGCCCGACACTGAGATTGCGGAGCAGAACGGAGAAGACAGCGGGCAAAGGGTGGACGGCGAAGGAGAAGTGCGAGAGAACGACAGCGTCTACGGTGGCAGAGGAGAAGGAGAAGGCAGGACTGAGAGGGGAACGATCCTGGAAGGTGGCTTGAAAAGAAAGGGCAATATGGCGTAGGAAAACTGCTAGCTCACGCTGCCCACGCCCAAAGGAGGAGGAGGAAGGAAAGGAGGAAAGCAAGCGAGCAAGAAGGGACAGCTAAAGAAAGAACTGAGAAAAGAGACAGCGAGACCTTCTGGGGGTCAAAGAAATTACAATAAGAAGGAAACTGAGTTTCCTCCCCACACAGCTTGCTAATAGTACTGCATTGTTCTATTTCCTTTTTATGTATAATTCTGTATTATATTGTTGAACTGTTGTCGTAGGTGATAAGCCTATAAAGGAAGGATATAAGGGAGGGGGGAAGGTATTAAGGGAAGACTTTGAAAGGAAAGGCAGAAAATAAAAAGGGGTGGGGGAAAATAAGTGGGAGGGAACGCATAAAGGGAAGATGCAAAGCATTATATAATTTTTTGTTTGTTTGTTTGAAATAAAGAAGTTGGCCATTGAATCTGCATGGATCTTCAAATCATTTCGTGGAATGTCAATGGGCTAAATTGTAAGACTAGGAGGAGGAGACAGAATGACTCCCCCTCCAGCTGCTCAGCCTTCATGGACTCAGAGGCGAAGGTCTGATGAGAACCAACTGGCTGCAGCCTTCTTAAACAGAGCTCTCCTCAGCATTCCGATGCATGTGGTTCCCAGGCCTAACTTGGCCCTTCCTGGACCCTTGGCTTTGCAATCATTTGCATTCCCTGACCTCTGGCTTGTCTGACTACGCGGGATGCTGTCTGCCCAACCCTCGGAATGGGCTTGGCTTCGTAGGCGGTTTCATGCAAGAGTTCTTGGAGACTTGTCTCCTGTTTGCTTGGCCTAATGTTCCTCTGAGCTTTGCACTCTGTTGTCACGGGACTCGGAACAGGGCTACGGCCAGCAAGCCTGTTGGATCAGGCCCACGTGCCATGAAGCCCAGAGGCCAAGTAGATGCCTGGGGGAAACCTCTAGGCAAGATTAGTGCTGTGGGCATGAGAGTTTGGAGAAAGTAGCAGAAGATCTGAGAAAAGCCATGAAACTACATGGGCAAAAGACTTGAGTGGTACTTTCTAACCTTACTAGGCCTGTCAAGTTTTATCTCAAAGCATCTCCTCCTGAAAACAGATGCCAATTGTATGTGTCAATTTACATATTCCTGTCCTCCCTGCATGCCAGTAAAGATTGATTGATTATATTCTTACTGGGCAAAAAGATCTGTGTATTCCTGCTATTTTACTATCTTAATAGACCCAACTTCCATATCATTCATTGGGCGTTATTTAGAAATAACCTTAGTCCTGAACGCAGCATTCAGGAGGAGGTGGAGCCAGAATGAAACCTTTGCTGCTTCTCTGGCTATTTCGGCTGCTAAAGATGCCCCGTGGACTCTGTGGGAACCGGAAGGCAAAATGCCCCTTTAATCTGATCAGGGATGAATCTGATCTACAAAATTACAACCAGTACCAGTCTGGAGATCTTCTTATTAGTGGGATCATATCTCCAAAACATTTGCACAAGCAAGTTCTATATGTCTTTACACAGACACCCTTCCCCAAGACTGAGATGTAAATAATCATCCACACATACCCTCCAACATTTCCCCAATGAAAATAGGGATGTCCTATTCCATAATAATAACTTTATTATTTATACCTCACCCACCACTCTGGGTGGCTTCTAACATAGATAAAAGCAGAAGAAAGCATTAAACATTCAGAAAACTTCCCTATACAGGGCTGCCTTCAGGCATCTCAGGGGTCG